CCAGGAAAGCAGTCCCCATAGGTAAAAAAAAAGGAATGAGCAGTTCAGTATTGGCAGTTCTGGCAGCTGATATTGAGACAAAATAGGATCTTCAGTGGCATGTGGGAAAGGAGTATTAATGTACATTAGTACTTTTAGAGAAGAATTATCTCCTCAGTTCTTTCAAAAGAGGAGATAAAATTCAATACTCTCATGGACAACTCAGGAGACAAATCAATTTGGGGTTATCAGTTGCCCAAAAATATAAAGCATATCCCTAAAAAAGAAAGGAAAGAAATGTGTTGTTTTACATTTTAAAAATAGCCCTTTCTGGCAGGAATGTACTATCCAAGGTGCTGCCATGGGGAGGGGGGTAGGCCATACTTCCTCTCCACAGCAACCATAGTTACCTCGCTTCATTCTGAGGTCCTCCAGAGGTATGGGATATAACTACCCACAAGGTCATGACCACGCATTATGGCACCCTTCTCCTGAGACAGCTTCCCTCCTAACCCCTGAGTGACAAGGCCTGGAATGCTGTAGGGGATCATCTGCTCTCTCTTGGCATGAGTGCACCTGCAGTGAGACCGTCCAACATATAGCAAATTTTCAACCCTACAAAACTCCCTCCCATGTAGAGAAGGGGCAGATTGTGATGTTGCAAAGGCCTGTTCTTTGAGCAAGTTACTGTTACATACTGTTGGAGAGGAGGTCTCAACTGGAGAGCAAGCAGCAGCAACTATGTAAAAAGATGATGATGTATATATATGAGAATGCCAGGGATTTGGGGCCACGTGACCACACATGGAAAATAACATTAGCAAATGTCACATTTCAAGAAAAAGTGTCTATATTCTTTAAAAAATGTTTTTAAACTTATATCTGGAAATCGTGATGGTACAGAAGCTAGCACATGTAAAATCCTTTCAGCAGTAAAGAAAAAGATAATCCATCGACTCAAAATATCCTTATTTTACAAATACAAAGTACATGTATCTGTTTGGTAAATAAAGCCAAATTCTCCTTAATTTTAAAAATTAAATATTTGATATTGATAATATGACACAGTTATTCTGAAATTCATGCTTGCAAAAATCAAAATGAAGTCATGTCTTAACAGCCTAAACTAAATAAAAAAATATGTTTTTCTAGAACAAAAACACAAAAGGCAAAATGCAGTCTCACAGCAAGGCATCTCTAACTACTCTACATTCCAAAACAGAAGACCATGTTGATTGCACTCTGTGAGTTGCTAGGCAACCACTTGGTAATTCCCCATGTAATAAAGATGAACCTGTCATGCTGTCATCTGCTGTTCCCTGCTAAATGTGACAAAAGGAGACAACAGGTAAAGGACAGCCAAGATTGCCTACACCTAGATGACACAATCACTTTTGAAGTGCAAGGTCACTGAAGAAAATCCCTATGCCCTGTCAGAAAGTGCTGGAGGGAGAATTTCATTAAACTATTAACATAAGCCATTTCTGAGAATTTATCTGAATTTACCCTGTGGGTAAGTCCTGTGGGCTTCCTGTAATCATTGTCCCTAAAGTAAAAGACCAAAAGCACCGAAGCAATGGATGGGAATGGCTGTCATCCAAATAGGGGCCTTAAATGAGAGCACCCTATTACATCAACCGTGATGATATTCACATTAATACTGAAACCATGGGGGAGCATTTATCAAAATAAGATCTCAACAAAGATAGTCAACTACTCAGACTGACTCAAATTCTAGGAATGCTGTATTTATTTATTTTTACCCACAGGGGGCTTCAGTGGGAGAAATAAAGAGCCACTATTAGTAATTTCTTTCTCTGAACTTATTTCCAAGACGTTATTAGGCAAATGGGCTACCTTGTAAAGAATTCACTCAAGTACAGTGATGACATCCTAGTCTTTGAAATAACAAGCTGAAAATATTGTGTATTGAGGAATGAACTAGGAGCATCTAAAAACACCATTTCAAATTAAACAAAGACAAGGAAGTTCCTTTAAAATGTCACTTCAAATTTTGGAGGAGTAAAAGATTCATCTTTTTCACTCAAAGATTCTAAAAGGTCAAGCTAACTAAGAAGATGAATAAGCTCTCCTTGATATCAAGATTAAAGTCCACTTCAGTTACTGACCATTTAGTTTCAGGACTCAGTAAATCCTGTTTGAGATTTAGCTTTAAGATCTTACAAAATGTGACAGGCAATCAGCTTGAAAGAGCAGATTCTGAACAACATGAAACCAACTAGGTAGCCTTAATGAATAGCTGTTGTAGTTCAACCCAACATCTGGCACACACTTATTCAAGTTTGTGCTATGTTGACTTAAAAGTACCCAGATGGCCAACATCATGGGATAGTGCCATCCAACTCATAACCTGTCAAAAGTACTGGTACTGGCCATTCAGAGCTGAAAAATAAAGCCTTGAAGTGTGGAGTCTTGCATGTTCCACCTGCAGAGTTATGCTGTTAACATTTATCATTTTCACAGATCAGGATTTTGAAGGATTATTACTGGAATTTCTCCAGTTAGTCACTAGACCAAACCAAATGTTGGAAATGATCGTTTACAAGAACATACTCAATATAGTGCTCAGAACTGAGGAAGTCAACTTGACTAATTAAGAGCTTCAACAATGTGACAACTTTCAATGACAGAGAGGAATGACTGAGTCAGAAATTAATTGCTAAAGGAAAACAAAGTTATAGCCTTTGAGTGGTAATATTAGAATCCATCTCTAATAGCTGCCTTCTCACTCCCTTTCTAGCCATACCCATTCATTCACTTCTTCTTTCCTGGGGACTTTGGGCTTCTCATATTTTGGAACTGATTCCTGCCTTAACCAGACACATACATCTCAAGATCAAGGTCATATCATGATATCTTGGTGGCTGATATCTTGCCTGTTTTAAATTCTGATCCCTTAACCCTATTTTGTGTGCTGAACATCCAGACTGACCCACAGATTCTGCTTTATGCTGACCTTTGGTAATGTTTTTTTCTCCTGCTTGCCTCCATAAATTTCTGATGATCTTCTAGCTGCATAACATTTTATTTTGCTTCCCCTCTGCCCCTTTGGCGCCAACATTCTTGGATCTTGCTTGGTTATAAAACATTATTTGCCTTGACTTCTGGCATCACTGTGCCTGCCATATGATTACATCATTGTGGTAGGAGCAATATTCTAATCCCTCTCCTCATAAAAGGTGGGCTAGTTTTCTGCTAAAAGGCACTAAAACTATCTTCAAGACTTGGTTGATTCAGAGGATTAAGGGCTCTGACTGTGGACACCATTTCCTGGTCACTTGACCATAAACAGACCCAAACAGCTCCAGGCACCACTACTGGCTCCAAATGTTTGGCCAGTGGGTCATGACAGGCAACTTAAGCAAGGGACTTTCATTCAGCTGAATCAACTCAAAATCTCCTCAGTGCCTATCCTTGTTGAATATCCTTCTCCCGTATATAAAAATAAATTTCCTTTGGTTAGCTGTTGTAATGGCCTGCAAGTATCTCATTTTGTTCCAACATGTAACCTAAACTACCAGGGTATTGGCCTGAGTTTGGCCCAGCTCAGAATAACCACAGATTCTGATTTTGCTCTCTGGATCCTGGTATCTCACCTTTCTTCATGCTTCAATACTTTTACCATTCTAGAATGACAGATGTTAAGGATGGGAGTTGGATATGGTTCAGAAATTGTCACTTGTAGAAGGCAAGATGTTATCAGGATACTTATTTTCTTATAATCTTGCTCATATACATAGGCAGAATAAGCTACCTTATCATTATATGCTATTATTTGAGAGCTGCTGAATGTTCTCACTTTACTAAAGTATCTTCCCTATTATTCTGCTATAGTGCCAGAAATTTCAACTCCTTTGACCTAAGACATGTGAAGTAGGTCAAAAATGCAAATATTATTTAGTAGGGGTAGCTTATTAAGCCAATATCAGCCATTAGTAATAATTTGGCACTTGCTAAATTATGAAAGTAACTAGAAGAAAGAAGAGCCATGAAAGAATGAGACAATAGACAGATAATTTTAAAGGGGAAGGGAAGAAGTGTGGAGCATAGAGTGCTACCTAAGGGAAGGCTAAACCAGATGTTATGTTTCCAAATAGCCAGAAGACAATATGAGATACTAGACACCTCATGAGCAATAATGAAGTCTTCTAAAGAAAAAGAAGGGAATGCAAAAAGGGGGCCACAGGGGCCTGGGAAACAAACAAACAAAAAAAAATTATTTCATAAGTTTGCCTGAGGCCAGCCCTGATCTTGGAATTCATGGACTCCTCTGCTATTAGAAAGAAGTCAGAGCCTCAGTAGAAAGTCCTCAATTTCACATGGTTTTCTCTTGCTTTTACTTGTATTTTGTGGCCACTACCCCACCTTGTTCCAATGTCTATTGGTAAGCCTTGAGTGTACTAGGAGTCAAGCAGGTCTTTAGTAATAGAGAATGAGGAGGTAATGACGGGGTGCTTGTGTTTGGGCGCTTGTACTTGGACCCCAATTTCTCCCTAGCCTCAGAAACACTGTCCCTGACAGTTTTTCCCCAGCCCAAGGACCATGTGCTTAGCAATTACTCATGAGTGGGCCCCAGCAAGACCCTTATCTCTCTCCCTGGTGCAGTTCCGAACAGTACCTGAAGGATTTATTAGTTTGAACTGGCTTTGCACTGGGTCATAAAGACATTCTTACCCACTACTATACTATCCTACTGCCTTACCTCATTATCTACATCCTGGGCTCCTCATTAACTGTACTCTAGACTTAAGACATATGTATACTCCCTACATCTATCTTGTCTAACAAGACATTGATTGGTGGCAGACTGGACAACTCTCAGTTACCCTGAACTCTAGTTGACTTAGTGACATAGCAGGCCTAAAACCACACCTCCATGTGGCCCCCCTTGTGGGCTTTTCCTAGTGAACTCTGGGTAAAACACTTGCGCAGTAGGTACAAGAAGTGCATGTTCTTTTAAGAACTGACTACTCCTTAACCACTCCCTAATCCCGCCCTGAATCCCCTAGTTAGCACATTTGGCACATGTTTTATTGTATTTTATCCTATATAAACTTTAACTGTACCTTTCTAAGGTTGCAGAATCCTTGCCCTCTGAAAAGAGTAACAATAAATCTTTTCCACCTTGAATTAAAGAATGCTTGAGTCTGTGAATTCATTCCAGACAACCTGTCCTGTACTCTGGTCTTTGAGGGGTCACAACCTCTCAACCTCTCAGCCCACAACATTTATGGCGCCCAACTTGGGGCTAGCCTGAAGTCGCAAGCCTTCTTCCACTCAAGGTAAGCCTCCCCACTCCTCTCACCCTGTAGGTGGGTCGCCCCTCAAACACCTAGGAAGGCTTGCTGGGGCTGGGTGGAGCCTGCAACAGGCTCTAGCGGATTTCCCTCTTGACAAGGGATGCCTTGTTGGGAACTTCTGCCAGGTTTTTTCTCCTTCACCAGGACGCTGGTCGAGGTGAGTAGACTACAGGTGCAATTTCTTCTTTTTTTGCTTTTTTTTAAAGGCTTACTGGCAAACAGGATGGGCAATCTCCCTCTGCACCTTGAGATTCGCCCCTAGGTTATCTTTCACACAATTGGAGAAAGCTCATTCTCCAAAACCTTAAGAAAAATTTTTTGCCTGGTCTCCATAAGATCTGGAGAATCATGAAAAATTGTCTGTTTTGTGCAGGGGAAGTCTCTCTGAGTTTTTGGATTATCCCTGTCATTATCATATATCTGTTCTGTGTTTGTGTTTGTCTGTGCGGTGTGTGTCCGTGTGTAATCTGAAACCCTTTGCAGCCAGGGCTGTAGCTGGACTCTGGAATGCCGTTTTTTTTTTTCTTCTTTCTCTCCCTCCCTGATAACAGCAGCTTCAGAGGAGTGGGTGGATGAGAAAGAGAGAAAAATACTTTATTATTTAGGTTACATGATTGTAAAAAGCAAGTTGAGAAGGATCCTCGAAGTGTCTGGTCAGAATTAGAAAGATGTTAGATATGTGCAGTTTTATGTGTAGAAAGCTTAATCTATTTACACAGTGTGAATAGAGCATTTGAGAGTAAAAAGGTTTTGAAACTTTTGGAGAATTGTTAGGAGAAAAAAAATTCTTTCTCCCTCTCTCTCTTTACATTCCAACCTTGGCCAAGTTGTTAAATGTAGAAGAGAGGAAGGTGAGGAAAGAAGAGGTGAATCTTTTCCCAATCTTTTCTGCCTCTCATAAAAAAAGTTTTTATGTACCAGAACACAACCAAAAGGTAATTTAATTCATTCTGGTAATATTTCAAATGAAATGTGATGCTCTTAATTTAATTCTTAAGTCAGAATTTATTATACTATTTGAAAGTAAAGTAAATTGGGAAAATGTATGGATCTGAAATTTGCGAACTGGGTGACATTAAGCAAGTTACCTCAGTTTATCTCACACGATTGGAAGGTGCCTAACACAATGCCTAGTAGAGGGCAGACACTACAAATGTTAACTGCTGTTATTAGTTCCTTAATTAGATGTGACCAGTATGCAATGTCAATGGTGAAGAGATGCCTGATTTTCTTTGTAAGGAAATTTGGAAATGCATTCAACAGAATCGGAGTCATCAGATTGGTAATGTGTTTCAAGTTCTAAAAATCTAGTATTGTTCCAGATTGGTAAACTTTTGTATTGTTTTGTCAAGCAGTTTTTCATAATTTGGATGTTATTAAAGTGTGAACTTAAAGAAACTACAGTGGGAAAACTGTACAACCATATTATTTTGTCAGCCCTGCTAACCCTGTCCTATAATGTTTTATAACTGTCATTTAGAAAACTAGGTATTTCCACCTTTACTGGTAATTAAAGAAGGGCTTATAGCTAAAACAATTTGACTATCACTTATGAAAGTTATAAGATTGTTAACTAAGTTATTTGAAGTTACTGTTTTAATGTTAAGATCTAGAATTGTTCTGAGAAAGGGACTTGTTTGGAGTTCCTAAACAATGAACTTGGCTTGCTGAGAAGTTGCAAGTTTATGTACAGTAGATAGAAATGATTTCTAATGATTGGCTTTTACACCAGGACAAGTTTAAATTTAAGAAGGAAAGATGTTAAGTGAAATCTCTTATGTATGTGAGTCCTGGTAAATCTTTATTGCTTATTGCAACTCCATGGGAGTAAAATTAACTGTATCTGGCTTTAAGCTATGATTAGTGAAACTTGTTGTTCAAGGTAAAAGGCTCTTGGGACTATAATTTTGTTTTGAGTTTGAATTTGGATATAGTTGTCTGCATTAAATCAGTATCAGAACTGCCACAAGCTACTCAGAACAGGTGGATGTCTGCATCTGGGAAAAAGCTGTGAGGACAATCTTAGCCTCAATCTAGGATGGGATCCTCCTGGCTCAGTTTCCCCATTGTGTTCCTTTGAGAAGGAATGTTTCCCACCTGACTATTCCTGAGTCTGGCTATGATGTGGAATTGATACTGCATGATTGGAGAACTGTGACTGTTATCTGAATTCAAACAGAGCTAAGGATATTCTATCCTGTCATATTTGGATGTCACATGTCCCTGCCTTTTCCTTTTATGGTAGATTTCTCTGATCAGAGCAAGTGGTCAGTAAAAGACATCAGCACAATATAAGTATGTGAGATCTTGCTGTTTTGATCTGAATTTGTAGTCATCCCATGGCCTAAGTGTAAAATTAGTGTTTGAATTTATCATATGTAAAAGATTCAATTTCTGGTATAATTAGAGAAGGATAAACAAGCTTGTGGAACAAGATTGTGTATCTATTCAGTTGTGAGGTTAAAGTTAGGAACCTCTTTTGTTTAAGGCAGTTTTTGCAAGAGCCCCCTCCCAATGTAACCACCTCAGAGGTCTTTGCCACCCCTTTTGTACTGGCCACTCCTTTATGGGAAAATTTTTCTATCTCAACATCCTGTTTCTCAACAGGGAATTATTCCTTTGCTTGGGAGACAAGTTCTATGGCCACTATACAGGTAAAGACCCTTGCCAGGGAGGGATTGTAAATGTCTCTGCTGGTCTCTTGACTTGCACCACCTGTAATGATGCCTACAGTGATGTGTCCCAGAACTTTACCTCTGCCAGCTGTACCACCTGTTCTGAGGGAACACTCCCTACTTGCACCTATGACCAAATTCCTCCTGCCACTCTCCTAGTAGGTATTTCCTATTTAACCTTCTCTTCCTAGTTGACACACAATGTTACTGCCCCCTTCTAGCTGTAACACTCTTATTGATCTTTTGAAAGTTTCTCTCTTACCTAAAATATTAGCATGTAATCATACTAATCCATGGGGGCATCCATGCTCAGTACCTTTTACAAACAGGCTCCATGTGCACCCCTAAGGGATACTCCTTCCTTTGTGGGTTGGGTGGGCCAGGTGGTGAGGATTCTGGGGAATAAGTAAAGCAAAATGCCACTACTTGGCAGGACCCCAGAACTGTTGTTCTGGCTGCCTGGTGTTTAACATCTTGTAAGGATTTTGGTGTGTGGTCCCTTGGATTTTTTTGGCACCACCTTTGACCATTTTCAATATTATTACACCCAATACCTCCACTCTAACAAGAGTGAAGCATGGGTTCTGGGACAATGTTCTCTGGTGCCTTAAAAGGGAGCAGAGTATCTCATGCCTTGGTATGGATATTTAAAGCATGAGTTCATTCTTTCAAATGTGACAGGGACCATTCACCAATTGGCAAATGATACAGCTTATAGTCTCCAGGACATTCATCAACCTCTGGATTCCCTGGCAAATGTGCTCCTAGATAATCAGATAGCTCTGGATTATCTACTTCCTTATTGGAGGTTTCTGAGCCCTGGCCAACACCTCCTGCTGTATGTATATTAACAACTCTCAATAGGTGGAGCTCAATAGGACTAGAGAAAGTCACCTGGATGTGAGACATCCATAACAACCCTTAGTACACCAGTACATCCTCTTCTTGGGGATCCTGGCCTCTTTCTATGTTAACTACTATTCTTGTCCCACTCCTGATTATATTCCTTTTACTTCTTTTTGGCCATTGTCTACTTAATCTCCTTGCTAGATTTGTCTCCTCTAGGCTCAGTGCCCTCCACTGCCAGATGACTGCTCAGACTGGGTACCAACATCTGTCCGAGACCACAACCCACCACCTCTTGGACCTGGCATTGGCCAAGTTCCAGACACTGGCTAGAGAACCGACTCCTTGACCAGAGGGACCCCAGGAGGCAGGGACAGCTATATGCCCAAACCCAGTAGGAAGCAGTTTCAGAAGCTGAGACCATCGTCCCTTACCCCAAAAGATTTTGGTCCCATCTGTTTAAGGGGGGAATGATGGGGTGCTTGTGTTTGGGTGCTTATACTTGGACCCCAATTTCTCCCTAGCCTCAGAAACACTGTCCCTGACAGTTTTTCCCCAGCCCAAGGACCATGTGCTTAGCAATTACTCATGAGTGGGCCCCAGCAAGACCCTTATCTCTCTCCCTGGTGCAGTTCCGAACAGCACTTGAAGGATTTATTAGTTTGAACTGGCTTTGCACTGGGTCATAAAGACATTCTTACCCACTACTATACTATCCTACTGCCTTACCTCATTATCTACATCCTGGGCTCCTCATTAACTGTATTCTAGACAAAAGACATATGTATACTCCCTACATCTATCTTGTCTAACAAGACATGATTGGTGGCAGACTGGACAACTCTCAGTTACCCTGAACTCTAGTTGACTTAGTGACATAGCAGGCCTAAAACCACACCTCCATGTGGCCCCCCTTGTGGGCTTTTCCTAGTGAACTCTGGGTAAAACACTTGTGCAGTAGAGTGTCAGCGGACAAGATTTGCCTCCTTTGAATTATGATCAGCTCAAAGATCTACATGTGTTAGATCGCTGTTTGAAAGAAACCCTAAGACTTAGACCTCCTATAATGACTATGATGAGATTGGCCAGAACCCCCCAGATTGTAGCAGGCTATACAATTCCTCCAGGTCATCAGGTGTGTGTCTCTCCTACTGTTAATCATAGACTTAAAGACTCTTGGATAGAACGCTTGGACTTTAATCCTGACTGATACTTACAGGATAATCCTGCATCGGGCGAGAAGTTTGCATATGTACCTTTCGGAGCAGGTCGGCATCATTGCATTGGTGAAAACTTTGCGTACATCCAAATTAAGACAATTTGGTCCACTCTGCTTCGTTTATATGAATTTGATCTTGTTGATGGATATTTTCCTACTGTGAATTACACAACCATGATTCACACCCCAGATAATCCAATAATCAGATACAAACAAAGAACGACATGAAAACACAAGGCAGG